GGGGGGGGGGGGTTGACGTCTAAATCGACATAAAGGTCTTGTCAATAATATGTTGGTGTTTGAGCGCCTGTAAAATGGCAGCTTACACTGTATGTTTCCCAGGTCGCCGAGACTGGTTTACAAAGTTTCCAGGTCAATGGGGTAATAATGCAGATTGTAAAGCGCATTGAGCTTGCTGTAGAGCGGGAAATTGGGCGATAAAAATCCTGCATAATAATATTACATTATCAGATTGTAAATATTGTCAAACCTCCGTGTGAATGTTAACTTGAACAATCCCCCCCCCCTCAAAAACATTTAAAAACAAAACCTTTTCAAATATCTTCTACGCTGGATAAAACCATCCATCTGACGCCAGTAATCGAGCCTTTAAAAATTACACTACTCCATTTCGTGATATAACACAACGCTAAATCCATACCACCATCCCCAACTTCATCTCATGGGGGAAAGTTACGCAATGACAAGAACACAAAGGAAAACGAAATTAGCCTAAACCAATGTTACATAAAAACGAAGCGAAAAAACCCCACAACCAACCAACATAATAAACAAAACAAAGTTAAATAAGAACAATGCAAAAAAACAACAACAAAAACAAAACAATCCAAACCAAAACAAAAAAAAACAAAAAAAAAATAAGGCAAAGCAAAACAAGAAACAATGGAATTTATCTAATGACGTCATTGCTTTGCGACTTTTGAAGTCGGCGAATTTCATCGCGTGAACCACGATAGATTGTTGGGTTTTTCAGCCGTATGATTCCATGATTCACGAATGCTAATATCATGTTTCTGGATGACAACGGGTAATATTTCTCTCGAGGGGCCGTTATTATGCCATGCGACAACAACAGTTGCCCCCGTGTGAACAATGGCACCCGCGTGACCCAAAAGGACTTGCAGAACCATAAAGAAAGCTGAAATAGATGTTATCCAAGTGTCACCCGCTCGGAGGCCCTGGCTCATCTGCATGTCTGTATTGGGATAGGCGTTGACATTCATTCGACTTGTCTGATCTGCTTGATCGGGGTCGCGGCGGAAATTGGAATTTCAAGGGAATACAATTATGGAAACCGACCTGAGGAAACTTTTACTTTTAGATAATGGTAATTAAGATTACGACACAAACCGAACCAGAACAAAAGGGGTTGGGGGTG